TTTTTTTTTTTTTTTTTTTTAATAATCTGGCAGTTACTTCCTCGTCTGACCCGGGCTCTTCATTCTGGCCCTCTCCAGAAAGGCCAGTCCCGAGCTCCTTTCTCTCTGCGCTTCTGTGTGACAGCAGCTGCAGTTGTGGCTTTTTGATAAGTTTGAGATCTGTCTTAGGAGCCGAATGGGCCCCTGGGTGGTTCTTTTTTGCTCCCTGCTCAGCTACTCCCCCTTTACTTCAAGCTTTGGGAGAGGTTTTGTTTTGAAACTTTGTGTTGGGTCTCGTCCGCTGTTGCCTGCTTGCTTTAGTGTATTTTGTGATTCGAATTGTTGCAGTAATAGAGTTTAACTACCGCTCGGGACTATGATGTGTAATTTTTGTTAATGTGGCGGCAAAATACTCGAGTTTTGGCTAGCCACTTCAGTTCCTCATTCTGAGAGCAGCCCTAGCGTCTCTAGTGAGATAAGGCTATGAAAAATAGGGGGTGATGGGTGTTTTGGAATGTAATTCCAGAAGGCAGACGGTCATTTTCTTGATGAACTTACTTCTGCAGAGGTTTTATTGTCTCTGAACAGGAATGCATTTTGAGAGATTTGGAAGTACTGTAGGTTTCTGATGTTCGTCTTTCTTCCTATTGATCAGCGGTATTAGACTGTCTTTTCCCCCCATGAAACGCAAGCTTTATGGGTTGTTTGGCTTATGGCTGGCTTAGCTTTTCCTTCTGCTGCTTGAGTTGACCTGCTTTGATCTTTCTCCATGGTCTATAAAGAAAGGCTGCCAGGGGACCGGGGATTTAGCACAGTGCTGCTGCCGCCTTCCTCGAAAGCACAAGGACCCGAGTTCAATCCCCGGTACCAAAAAAAAAGGGGGGGGTGCTGCTAGTGCATTTAGGAGGCGAGGCTCTGGTTGGGAGAATTTGTAAAAAGATAGGAGGAATATAAGGAGGTAGGAAGGATGATTAAGATGAGGATTTATATCGAAATTCCTCTGTGCTTTCTTTAGAAGATGGCTGAGATAGGATAAAGGTGTCCTTCTCAGATCCAGAAACTTGCCCTTGGTAGCAAAGCACAATTGAGGTCCACCCATATATGCATACCTTTGACCATGGGATTTATCTTTCATTTTTCCTACCGTTGTTTCCTCCATCAGATGAATCGCTAATGAGCTCTGCACCTGAAATGGCTACCCATTCACTTTGTTGTTTGCTGGGCTCCCCAAGGGCAGAAGCTTTTGAAGTGCACTGAGATGCTGGACACCTGAGCTAAAGACTGAATAGTTTTACAACTGGGCCCTTGGAACTGTGTTCTCTGACCAAGTAAAAGTTGCAGTGACTTGTGGAAATTAAAGCAAGGTGTTCTTAGAATTGCGTTACAGTCTTGCATGAGATTGTGAATATAGAAGCAAAGGCAAGTTTGGGTTTTGAGAGAAGAGATTTCTATTTGTCTTGTACATATAAATATGCAGGGACATAGATGAGAAAACAGCCACAACAAAACTCAGAGGGCTTAGATTTTTTAAAAATCAACTTGCAAATTGCTATTGTTATATTAAGGTCCTTTTAATGACAGTGACTAGCATAGATCAGAACTGGACGTTTTGTTTTCCTTTTTCATTGACAAGATTTTCTTTGGACCCTGGGCATGTGGACCTTTCTAATTTGCACCACACACTGTAGTAAACACAACTATCTTCCAATCAAAAGTGTTCTTCCTGTACTCAAGGGTGGAGTTTGTAAGCTGCTGGCTTGTGATTGGGCAGATTTTCTTTCAGTTATGTTTAAGATGTTTTCAGGCGTGCTTGGTTTTGAGTAATGCATAGCAGGGCGCCCCCTGTTAGGGATGAGTAATTGAGGGTTGGATGAATGAGTTTCTGAAGAGACTGAAAACACACTTCCGAATTTTACTGTTATCCTCTTTCTAAATACTTCTTCATCCAGAAATTTTTCATGATACAACATTGATAACATTTAATGAAGCCTTTTTTTTTTTGACAAGCAAAACCAAAATCATGTGCTGCCTTAAGATGTGATGTGAAAAAAAAGTCAGAATGTTCCGAACGTTGTTGTTTAGGAGTTTTATTGATAAAGGTATTATAGATGGGCATCTTTACCAGCAAGTCTCCTGACTGATAAACTATTGATGTTTTTAGCCACAATAGAAAAGCCCCCCAGTCTCTTATGGAGTAGCTCTGTCTTTCAGAATAGACCTTTTATGTTTTTTTAAACGTCCTATTGCAAAATTTCTTTAATGAATTTTTATGAAGTTATCTGTAGTTTTCTTAACTACCCCCGTTATCCTCTTTGTGTTCCTAAATCTTTCTTGGTCCGTGTAAGTTGCAGAGACCATGGGACTTCATGTGTACATATACAGTAGATAAAGAGATAAAAACAGATTTTTCTTTTTTTGTTATAAAAGTAAAACTTGCTATTTGCAGGGTGTCAAAGTTATATGCATAGCAGTCTCCATCCTCTACCTACCTGACCCGCTTAACCAAAGAAGGGTTTTTTGTTGTTGTTGTTCATCTTTAATACTTGTTCAAAAAAATTGAAGGCATACAACTAGATACAAAGGTTTCCTTTTTAAAAAGCAAATGATATAATGTTGCACATTATCTGCAGCCTGCTAATTTTTCACCTTTTGGGGTTTTTTTGTTTGTTTGTTTTCTTTTCAGACTGGGTCTGGCTGTGTAGTTTGGGCTGGCCTTAAAGTCACTATGTAGCCCAGGATGATACTGAATTTGTGGTGATCCTCTTGCCCCAAGGCCCCACCCACCCCATCTCCACTGTTGGGATCACAGGCTTGGGCCATCATCACACTTTGCTTTTTTTTCCCCCCCTTTGTTTTGGCTTTGAGACAGGGTCTCCCTATGTAGTTCAGTCTGCCTTGAACTCACTCTGTAGCCCAGGCCAACCTGAACTCCTAAGTGCTGGGATCACAGGTGTGTGCCACCACACCTGGCCTTTCTCCTCCTCCTCCTCCTCCTCTCTCCTCCTTCCCCTTTCTTCTTCTTCTTCTTCTTCCTCTTCCTCCTCCTCCTCTTCCTCCTCCTCCTCCTCCTCCTC